TCGGGTAATCATTAAACAAGGGGATAAGAAACAACAACAAACTGGAGATTAGGCGATTAGCAAAGAAGCATTCCAGAAACATAAAACAAAACTACATCTAAATCAATAAATTGTGTCACATTTCAGTACAGTATTATTACTGGTGACAGAATGGTTATTAAGAAAAAAAAAGGCATCTCCTGATTGTGCAACTAAAAGTTTCTGATGGCTTGCGCCATCTATCAGAATAAATATTAACTAATTATTGATTTTTAATTATTTCCAGAATTGGACCCAAATACTGTTTCTTAATTAATCAAGAAAAGCGTTAGAGGGGGCGCTATAGACAGGTTTAACTGTATTTAGCAACTCTCCGGTAAGAGGACACCTCTCCCTAAAGGAAACTTTGGCTCTGCAATTAGGTGTCCTTTATACAGGGAGGTTCTACAGCAATTACATAGGAAATTGGACCTTTAGGAGAGGTCACTGCTTATCATAAAACAGCGTGCTATAGAGAGGGAGTGCTATAGACAGGTCACTTTTAATGTAAATCGCATCGTACTACGTATTTAAAATCGGACACTATAGAGAGGAAGACGCTATTTAGAGGGGGGGGGGGCGCTATAGACAGGTTTAACTGTAGTAAAAATTATAATTTTGTAGATGAAAAAACGTGTTTCAGGCAGTTGGCTTAGGTTAGCTTAGTTGATATTTATTCTGATAGATGGTGCAGCCATCAGCAACTTTTAGCTGCACAATCAGGAGATGCCTTTTTTTTTTATTAATTCATCCACTTGATCCCAATACAATCACTTTTGTACTATTTTTGACAGAATAGTTATTATTGATTTGGACTCTTGCTACCTTATGTTTCTAGAATGTGTATCTTTGCTAATCAAAAATCCAAATTGTTCCTTAAAAAGCATTCCAGAAATATTACTGATATACATGTCATGCAAGCAGTTGCTCCATCAAACAAGCCTTCTTGTTGTTGTTGTTGTTTCTTATCCCCTTGTGTAAAGATTACACAAATTCCATGAGTTCATGCTCCTCGAGCTGTACAAGCCTTCTTTAATATCACATGAGGAATGGTTCAAGAATGTCTGTGCTATGTGAACTTTTGATTTCAACAACACACAGACTTTATGTGGGGGTCGGTGGAAGGCTGGTTAAACCGTTTGGTTTTCGACCAATAGGACCTGGGTTCGATTCCCGCATTGGACACTTTTTTCGGTTTAAAAAAAAAAAATGCTCCAATGGCCCCCGATTCTTGCAAAAGTCCAACCCCACTAGCGAGTGCAAGTAACCAAACGGGGCTCTGGCATTTGTAAGTGCAAAGTCGAACTGCCTTTCACATGTAGACATTTATTTATTTATTATCATTTACAAAGCACGCGATATCCGTCTTGGATATTTGCATGCATACACAAGTTTGGGAGCTTATTTACAGTAATTATTAATAGGAAATTAGTTATTATAATAGAAATTATTAACATATTTGTCAGTTAGTTAACGATTTAATTACCCTATAATGAATATTAGTGAACATCACATAAGAACAGAAATTTAGAGCTATTTACAGCATATAACTATATTACAGCCCAGGCTATCTATTACTAAAAAACATTCTACAAAATCTATTAAAATTTATATACATATATCTATTATTAACTATTTGATTTAGACAATTTATATTTATTTGATTTTTGACTCTCAAGTCCTCTACAAGTCGACAGTCCGTTAAAATATGTACAGGATTTTCTTCTTCTGCACCACATGTAGACATGTGGTGCGCTTACAGTAAAAGCAGTCGCTAACTACCCACCATGATTATCATGGCCTGTACCACGTGTACTAGGGATAAGTGAAAAAAAAAAACAGACTTTATGTACACTTTGGAACAGGTAACCATTATTGATCTAAAGAGAGAGTAAGTAGAATGAACCGAGAGATATTGTGGAAACAGTAATTTCCTATGTTGTTGTTATTTCTTATCCCCTTGTGTAAAGATTACATGAAATCCATGAGTTCATGCTCCTTGAGCTATTTTATGATAAGCAGTGACCTCTCCCAAAGGTTCAATTTCCTATGTAATTGCTGTAGAACCTCCCTGTAAAGGACATCTAATTGCAGAGCCAAAGTTTCCTTTAGGGAGAGGTGTCCTCTTACCGGAGAGTTGCTAAATACAGTTAAACCTGTCTATAGCGCCCCCTCTTGGGACTTACCAAAATAGGGTGCTATAGAGAGGGAGTGCTATAGACAGGTCACTTTTAATGTAAATCGCATCGTACTACGTAATTAAAATCAGGCGCTATAAAGAGGAAGGTGCTATTTAGAGGGGGGGGGCGCTATAGACAGGTTTAACTGTAGTAAAAATGAAAATATTGCGAATGAAAACTGTCTAGGTAGAGAGGTGTCCTCTAGCCAGAGTGTCCTCTCATGGAGGTTCTACTGTATTTGGTGATGTCTGTCTGTGAAGAGCCCAGAGGAGTGGTACCTGCTCCAGGTCAGGATGGGCCGTCACCAAGCCATTGACCAATTCCACCAGCTGGTGCTGGCTGAGGGCAGAGAGGCCGGTAGAGACAGGGGCCGGGGGGAAGTTCAGCTCCAGCTTGGCTTTCTTGCCTCCAGACTGCAGCACAATGATGGTGATATATTTATATAGTCTATCGCATTATTACATATTATACCGTGGAGTGAACCAAGGAGGAGCTCTGAACCTCAGACAGAATCAAACAACACTAACAAGATTTAGAACAGGCCATCTCAAACCATTGAAGATAGAAAATAATAACAAAATCTACCCCACTTGCCCAAAATGTAGCTTGGCACCTGCAGCTCCAGAATACATTTTGACTTGCATTAGATGCACTAAACAGGATCTTTGAGAGAGGCCGCTGCTGATCATCAAACAGCTCGAGGAGCATGAACTCATGGAATTTGTGTAATCTTTACACAAGGGGATAAGAAACAACAACAGCAGTCTATTACATAACTTGTAACTTCTAACTCCGCCTTTGCCAGTCCCAAGCCCGGATGAAAAAAAAAGGAGGGGAGCAGTAATAAGCTCATTAAAAAACCTGATAGTACCCTGTAAGGGCTCCTGATCCAGGGATACAGGATGAGCAGCGTTTGTACTCCATGTTAGGAGCGGCTGCACATGGCCTCTGTTCCTCATGTCAGAGGCGGCCATTTCATATTGGAGCTAAGTCAGCCTGCCACTGTGTAGTGCTCCCAGTCTTAATGACAAAGGCAGATGCATTCTACTTCCCCCAATCATGATGAAGATAAGTAAAAAAATGAAGATAAGAATGAAGAAGACTTGTAACTTCTTTAGTGAAATATAGGTAAGGGAGACAAGATCGATGATGAGGTACAATTTAGATTCTGATAAGAATCACATGGAAACAATACCAAATCTAGTAAAAATCCCTCTATAGTGAACCCCAATTGGACAAACTTTTGGTTCACTATACCATAGTCAGGCTATATTTTACTTTTCTATATTTTTAGATTGTATAATTAAAGGACAGTCATACACACAGATAAAAGGCTACCTTTTAATAATGGTTACTTTATATTAATTCCCTAAATTGACCATTTCCATGGGGGTCGTTGGAAGGGTGGACTAAATTGTTGGTTTTCAACCGCTACGACCTGGGATCGAATCCCGAATTGTGGACTTTTTTCTAATTAAAAAAATACTCCAATGGCCCCCCGATTCTTTTAAAAGCCCAACCCCACCAGCGAGTGCAAGTAACCAAACGGGGATTTGGCACATTTGTAAGTGCAAAAGTTGAACTGCTTTTCACATGTGTAGACATGTGGTGCACTTACAGTAACTACCCACCATGATTATCATGGCCTGTACCATGTGTACTAGGGATGATTAAAAAAAAAAAGTTGCACGATCAGGAGAAATGCCTTTCTTTCTTAACTTAAAATTAGGTTTGTTTTAGGGATAGTTCAGTTTATTAGGAATATCTCAAAGTTCATTATAAAAATGGTGTTTTAAATGAAATGGAGAATTACCTTAGATTGGTTATAAGGGAAGATTCACTATATTTAGCCAGGTTTTACTTTATAGTGGAGCCTCCTTATAACAGAAACTAGGTTTTAACACAAGATAATAAGACCAAATTCAAATAAATAAATAGTGTGATGTTTCAGTAACAGCATTGTTACCTTGTGTTTATAATCTACTAGCCGAATGACCCGGGCAACGCCCGTGTTTTACCAGATTGAATGTTTTGATTCAAATACTATTTGTTACAATTATAGATTGGCGCCTTAAATAATTGCATATGTTAGTTAATAACTATAGCCTATGTGCTTTATCTGTCTATGTACTGTTGCCTTCCGTAGGAGTCTCTTACTGGGAAAAAGAAAGAGAGGATTCCATTTAGTTATTATCTAATATATGCATTTATTTAGGGAGTGACCCGCTCCAACACAATAGTTACATAAATAGCGAGTGGGGGGGGGGCATGATGGGGGGGGGGGGGGGGAGGCAAAGGTGGCGTGACCGTAGCCAACCAATAGGAGGGCACCATTCCAGAAAAAAAGCAAACGGTGACAGAGAGAGATGATTGATTAGGAGATGAGGAATGACGCTCGTAACTGTATATAGAATAATCCAAATTGTGCCTTATCATAAAAGTGTCAATTTCATAAGCACAACCTGCCGCAATACCAAAAATACACTTGGAGAACTTGCTTTATAAAGCAGAGTTTTAATTTGTTTTTGTAAATGTTTAGGTGAAAATTTCAAGTCAAGGAAGTACACATATATCCCTGAGGTGCTCTATACTCAAGCCAAGGGAAGGAGTGAATATCTTCAATCTATCATAAAGATTTAGGTTGCCTGGCCGGCATTCATATTTCTTTAAAAAAATAGACACTTCTGCCAGTTTTATTTTCTCAACCTTTCAACAAAAATGCTGTCGTCAGGAGAAATAAATAAAAAATAAAGCATTTGGCAAGGCATTAAAAATTGTTCTTCAATCTAGAGCTACATAACACAAGCCTTATAACATTGAGAACATCGGTTCTCATCCAATCACCAAAGTTAAGCAATGTTGAGCCTGGTCAGTAATTGGGAGGGTGATACATAACCCAGTCAATGGCATAAAGTACAAAAGGACATTGCTATTTCAACCTACCTTTGTTACTGGACCAAAGGGATCTCAAAAATCAAAATAAAAATGGATTTGTAAAAGACTCTTTTGAACTTAAACATAAGGTAATAAGATCAAATCCGGGGGGTTGGTGGAAGGCTGGGTAAACCGTTTGGTTTTCGACCACTAGGACCCAGGTTCGATTCCCGCATTGGGCACTTTTTTCTGTTTAAAAAAAAAAAAATGCTCCAATGGCCCCCGATTCTTGCAAAAGTCCAACCCCACCAGCGAGTGCAAGTAACCAAACGGGGCTCTGGCATTTGTAAGTGCAAAGTCGAACTGCTTTTCACATGTGTAGACATGTGGTGCGCTTACAGTAAAAGCAGTCGCTAACTACCCACCATGATTATCATGGCCTGTACCACGTGTACTAGGGATAAGCAAAAAAAAAAAGATCAAATCCAAATAAATAGTGTATGACATTTCAGTAACAGCATTATTACCATCATCAAACAAAAAAATACTGAATTCAGTACTTTTAAGTACTTTTGTCTGATGATGGTAAAAACGTTGTTACTTAAACGTCACACACTATTCATTTGGATTTGGTTTTATTACCTTGTATTTATAATCTAAATTCTAAATTGTGTCTTAATCAAGACTTGAACTTGGCTTACTCCTGTGAGAGGATTGGGTCAAATTGGAAAAGCAGTCTTCTTCTTTCTTCCACTCAATCATATTAGGGTATCAAGCTTGTAGAGCTTGTTGATGGTGTCTGCTGGGGATGAGTAGAGATCATCAATGGATGAATCAATACAGTCAATACTGTGGTTTGGGGTTTCAGGTTGAGAATTGCAGGAATGGAGTGCAGTGAATGTTTGGAGTGGACAACTATGTTCCTCCACATGTGCATCAACACCACAGAGGAAATATTCCAAGTCTTACCCGGAGGTTATGGGGAGATGGTGGTTCCAGGTTGAGTCTCTTGCGGAGGGAGGATCGTGTGGGGGTGGAAGGACATTTGGCAGGGGAAACAATCTTAGTGGGGGTGCTCCGTGGAGTTGGGGGTGGTTGCTTGCGAGGGGAAAACTTGGGGGGCGTCCTGGGTGGGGTAAGGAGGCTCTCTGCAGGGTGGCCTGTACCACAGCATTGATCAACACTTAAATTAAACGATTAGGAACTCTTAATAATTGGTTTATACGAATAAAAATAAAATGATAAGAGGAGCTTCTTTTATAAATTTTAATGCGCAACGTCCTTCTACAGGCATGGATAGTGGTAATACTAACGCTCCTACAACACTCTCCAGCCTGCTCTATGAGTTTCATAGGGAGTTGGTGGAAGGGTGGTCTAAACAATTGGTTTTCGACCATTACAACCCAACAACAACAAAAAGCCTTTATTTAGGGTCACTGACCCTATACAGGATTCACCAGAGGTATGCATAAGAACAAAGCAGTGAGACAAAGGAAATAACCGTTACAACCCAAAACTATACACGCTGATTTGGCATGTATAGTTTTGGCTTTAAGTCATACTTCCAGTTCTTCTGTTGAAGGGCAAGTTGTCCTGAAAGCTTTAGAAATAGTTAAAGAAACCTGACCCTGGATTGCTAGTTGATTTTGTTAAGTTGTAAAAGCAAGAATGAATATACATACATACATGCATCTAATATTATATTGGGTGATTCTGCTTATATACCCCGGCCCTGGAAAGGAATTCTTGTTTAAGGAATTTTATTTTACAAGGTAATATATATTAGAAAATAGAGCAATCCATAAATCTTTAATTAAAAAGGCATATATTGGATCAAAATATCATTTATTCTACCAATATTTCAGTTGGCTAAACACCAACCTTTATCAAGGTATTATAACATATTAATATCAGAATTATAAACCTCTGTATCAATTATATTAATCAAATATAAATCTCCGAGGATATGTTTCTTTATTACACTTTTAACGAGTTTACAAGTTTCCAGGATTTAAACAACCCTTCTTAAAACTTTTCACCTATAGAAGGGTCGTTTAAAACCCGAAACTCGTTAAAAGTGTAATAAAGAAATTTATATCCTCAGAGATTTGATTAATATAACATATTAATGTGTTATAAAACCTTGATAAAAGTTGGTGTTCAGCCAACTGAAATATCGGTGGAATAAATGATATTTTGATCCAATATATGCCTTTTTAATTAAAGGTAATATATATAAGACCAAATCCAAATAAATTAATAGTGTGTGACATTTTGACAACAATGCTGTTACCGAAATTTCACACACTATTTATTTTGATTTAGTCTTATTACCTTGTAGTTCTAATCTATAATCCAAATTGTACCCTCTTTCAAAGTTTATTTTATTTAATTACTTTCTAATGACCATATATATATAATGGACAAATAAAACCACAAGTTAATCAGAAAACCTACCGTAGGATCTGAGGCGGCTACGGATGAATTCCTCATCTGGAGATGATGGGGGTGTGGCATCTTGTAGGGCGAGATTGTGGAAGTTGTTGGCTGTCACACCACCCTTTCTTAGCCCGGCTGGCATCATGTCTTCTTACAATTGAGCAAATTAGAATTAAGAAAAAGGCATCTCCTTATCATACAACTGAAAATTGCTGAAATATTAACTATTTGCTGATTTTTAATTATTCCAGAATTGGGCCAAATACCCATTCTTGATTAATCAAGAAAAGCTAACCATGTACGTGTTTCGGGCTGTTGGCCCTCATCAGTGTGGTGCAAGTTGCACCTTAATGATGAAAAAACTAGCCATTCAGGCATTCCGAATGGGTATTTGGCCACTTCTGGAATAATTAAAAATCAATGATATTTATTCTGACAGATGGCGCAAGCCATCAGCAACTTTCAGTTGCACGATAAGGAGATGTCTTTTTATTAATTTATCCACTTTATTCTAGTACAATTTCACACATTTGTACTATTGTTTCACAAATTAGAATTATTTAATAAACCATAAACTGGAATATTCAAATAGTACAGTAGAACTTCTCTCTTACTCTCTCTTTGGCTTGTGGATGATCCACAAATTAATCCCAACTCACGTGCATAAGAACAATGTACCATGTCTGCAAAGACACAGCCCGGAACTGAAATGGTCTTGCAGCTCAAGACCTCGCCCCAACTACCAAGATCTTCCTAGCCTTAGGACCTTCCCTTTAAAAACAAATTTGGAAATTTTTTGACATTTGAAATGAAGCTCTTATGATGAATAAAGTGAGTGTGGATTAATGGGCGCTCATCTTACTCTCTCTTAAGCCTGGCTGGCAATGGAAGATGACTCTAACATTGTCTTACAATTGTGCAAATTAGAACTGTTTAATAAACCATAAACTGGAATATTCAAATAGTACAGTAGAACTTATCTCTTACTAAAGGACAACACCTAGTTACTAAACCAAAGTGTCCCTTTGAGAGAGGTGTCCTCTAACTGGAGAGCAGCTAAATAGTACAAATGGTAATAAGGCACAATTTGGATTCTAGATTATAAACATAGAGGTAATGAGACCCAATCCAAATAAATAAATAGTATGTGACATTTCGGTAACAACACTGTTACCAAAACATCATACACTATTTATTTAGGTCTTATTACTTTGTGACTAACTCCACCTTTGCCGGTCCCAAGCCCAGATGAAAAAGAAGGAGGGGGAGCAGTAACAAGCTTGCTAAAAAAACCTGGGTTCAGCTGGCCTGGCTGATAGTACCCTGTAAGGGCTCCTAATCTTGGGATACAGGATGAGCAGCGTTTGTACTCCATGTTAGAAGCCGCTGCACATGGCATCTGTTCCTCATGTCAGAGGCGGCCATTTCTGCTAGTGTGGCCTGGGTCAGGTGACCTAGCTGCTCTCATATGTCCCTTCAATATGTTGACTTATTATGTCCCCTATAAGTTGTTATTTTATAGCAATAATTTTTTTTTTAAATCCTTCACAATGTTTAAATATTTGTCTTCATATCATTTCCTCTCTTTAAATTCACCCTACCGCCTCCCCTGGCCTATGTTGTGATGGAATATTTATTTTCCAGCCGATAGTCTTGACTAAGTTTCACATACAGTATAACCTCCATGAGAAAACCCTCTCTCAAAATTACCATTTTTACTAATTAGCAACTCTCTGGTAAGAGGACACCTCTATATAAAGAATACTTTGGATCTGCAACAAGGTATTATTTTTTACAGGGAGGTTCAACTATATCTGGTTTAGACTTTCCATTGTAAGTGCTTGAATGCACTTCAATGATGCATCATGACCTGGAGTTTGATCATAGTCAATGTATTAAAAATATTCTTCTCTGACCAAAGTATTATGCAATAGAACCTAGAGGACACCTTTCTACAAAGGACAGTTTTCATTTGCAAAATTACCATTTTTACTATTTAGCAACTCTCCGATAGGAGAACACCTCTCCCTAAAATACACTTTGCCTCTGCAATTAGGTGTCTTTTACAGGGAGGTTCTACTGTATTTTAAGGCCATCTTTTTCATAAAAGGGTTGTTAGCTTGGTAAGCTAGCAGATAACTTGGAAATGATAAGCAATGATAAGAGAGGACAGGAAATGACAACTGAAGATAGTCCTGAACTACCAACTGTCCATGTGCAGAGACATCCCTGGTGTTTTCCAGTCAATGTTGGCTGTTTAGGCCAGCATTTAGGTTGCCATCTACTTTAGTTTCATATATTCCTTAAAGATATATGTGATAATAATAAATGAAAACATTAAGATGTGAATGTTTCTTTTCACAAATAAATCAAACTTCTACTGTCCTTACTGCGATGAAAAATATTGGCTTGGCTCATCAGTGGTGAACCCTCCCAGCGATTTCGCCAATTTTTGATCTATCATACCGCTTCTTTAGAGCTCTAATACTGTATTGGATCATTCTGCTTTTATATGCTACACTGAAGGATGGAATCTTAGAAATGTTATTTGAGCAAACTATGAACATAAGCTTTTAGGACAGTAGAATTACATTTAAATATT